ACGGAATCTGAATCAACCTCAGCTACCCGTCAACCATTTTATGGGACAAAGCCAATTAAGATCACAGGTGTTGCACTTACAAAGACATCCTGAGAACTTGAAATTGTACTATGAAATAATACAGAAGCAAATCAATGACAAATTTATCGAAGTTGTCACAAATGATAACCTAAAGGAAGGACACTACCTGCCACATAATCCTGTACTGAAAAATTCAGCTACTGCCCCACTATGGATAGTATTTAATTGCAGTGCAAAGGCAAGGCAGAATAGTATTTCGTTAAATGACTGCCTTCAAACTGGGCCTAGCCTGACACAAAGGTTATATGACGTGCTGTTAAAGTTCTGCATCGGGACTTACGCATATACGGCCGACATCAGCAAGGCTTTCCTTAGGGTAGGTCTCCAAGAAGACCGTAACTACACAAAGTTCCTATGGATTAAGGATCCTAACAATCCAAACAGTGAATTAATCAATTACAGGTTTGTGTCAGTTTTGTTTGGTGCCACATCTCTGTTTCTGCTTCAAGCTACCTTAGACACGCACTTGAAGAATTCCACTAGCCCAAATAAAACAGAAATTAGCAATGACTTGTATGTGGACAATTTCCAAGAAACAAACAGTAGTGAAAGTAAACTGCTGAACATATACAACGAGGTAAATCGAGAATTAATGGGAGCAAATATGCCTCTCCAGACGTGGGGTCTCCAACAATGCCAAATTAATCAACTGATCGCAACTGAATTTCCCACCTACCAGGTACCCGAGAAGACAAAGATACTAGGTGTCGAATGGGATACGACAACAGATCAGTTGACAATCAAGTCGGTGGAGCCAGATACCATTAACTTAACAATGAGAAAATTACTCTCACAAGTCAGCAAACCCTTCGACCCATTAGGACTATTAAGTCCAATCTTAATTAATGGAAAGTTGATAATGTAGAAGTGTTGCCAAGGAAAGATTGGCTGGGATGATCTTCTAACACCTATCTTACAAGAAAAATGGCAAGGGCTAGTGAAAGATTTAAGTATCCTAGAGTCTGTCAAGTTCCCTCGGAACACAGTAAATGAAAAAGAACCAATTAAGCTACATGTATTCTGTGATGCCACAGGAAAGGCTTATGGCACAGAAGCTTACTTGGTCTCAAATGGGCAAGCCAATTTGCTCACATCAAAGGCCAGAGTGGCACCATTAAAGAAACGATCATTGCCACAACTGGAATTAACGGCCTTACTGCTAGGTGTAAGATTGGCTCATTATCTGATCAAGGCCTTAAGCAACATCCACTTTGAAGAAACAGTGGTATGGTCAGATAATGAGGCAGTGCTACAGTGGGTTAAAAACAATAATAGTAAAAATCCTTATGTGAGTAACCACGTTAAGGAAATACGAGAGTTGTCGACAGGGTACAACCGGAGATATGTACCCACCAAAGAGAATCCAGCTGACTATCTCTCCCGAGGCCTGACTTTACCAAAGGCCTGACATTTAACAAAGGCAGAGATGTGGTTCAATGGACCTCAGTGGCTAATCAGCGACCAGTGGCCTAAACAAAAGCAACAAGTCATTGTGACCAATGTCACTGTTCCACTGAGAACCCAGAACTACCTCGGACTTTGGTAATTGATCCTAATTGGTACTCTGAACTGAACAAACTAATAGGTGTCACCCAAGTAGTGTTTGATTTTCTAAAGAAAATAGGAATCAAGCATAAATTCCCTAGTGACCTAAGGTACAGGGTCAGGATTCTGTCCAAAGTTAATGATCTCAGCCAATGGGTCCAACTTAGTGGCAGGAGAAGCATGTCTGAGGAAAATCTGGACACATCCAAAGGTACATACAGCCCTAAATCAACGGCAGTACCACTGGAAATTCATACCTCCTAGAACACCATGGCACGAAGGCTTCTATGAACGCACGTTCATAGAAGCCTCCATGCCATGGTGCATGGTACGGTGCATGGTGACACTTTCTCTATGGAAAACCCTACACCGCCAAAAGATTGACCTACAGGAGCTCCTAACCATAGCCATAGAGATAGAAGCACAAGTTAATAACCGACCACTTACCTACTTCTTTGATGATGTTTTTCAACATGAACCATTAAGTCCAGCTCATATGATATATGGGAGACCTCTCAGCACTCTTGTGTCCCTTACAGACGAGGAACCAGAGGATCCTTCAGATGTCCAAGAGAGTGATTTGGTTCAACGTTTCAAACATCTATTGGTGGTGATAAGTCGGTGGAATAACGTATGGACTCGAGAATACCTAACTGCTCTGAGGAGGTATTATTACGGGGCAAACAACCCCTACAACAGAATTAACTTGAACCCTGGTGACATAGTTCTGGTGGACAGCGATGGGCCACGGTCAGAGTGGCCTATAGGCCAAACAGTCTCTGTTCATCTAGACAGCCAGGGCATCATGAGGATAGTGAAAGTAAAATGCCAAGGCAACACTACTCTTAAAACATTAGAGAAATTAATTCCTTTAAAACGGGCAGGAAAAGAATACGTTCAACGACTTCCAGCACCCAAAACACCAGTACGAGACATCCGTCCACAAAGGACTGCAGCACAACAATGCAAACTAAAATTAAAGCAGCACTATAATTCTGATGGTGAGGAATAAAGTGATTGCAGTCCTTACCGGGACTTCGACCCGTGTTCCTCCCCCCTGGAATTATGTCGGAAATCCGACACATAACAACATAAGTTACCCCCATAAAGAAAAAGAGAACGGGTATTCAGTGACGTTATACAACAAGACGTTTATTATATATCTCATCTCTTTTTAAACAGCAGTCTAGTGTTTAAACTTAATAAAAAAGTGTTTACTAGGACTAAATATAATTAAATACAACAGGAATATAGCTTAACACTTTATTCCTTAAACATAAATAGAACCACCAAACATTTGAGGACGTCTACCCCTAGTGCGCCGTCTCGTACAACACAGCAACTTGTAAACACAATGAGAAGCTCTTCCTCACGAAATTTACAACACAAAAAGGTTCTTTTCCGAGCTTCGACACAGGATCCGCTATGATCTGCCCAACTGAAGATCTCATGAACAAAGGGAAGAACAATTTTCAGTATTTCTATTGCATTTAATACTGGCCATTATTATTGTAGGAAATATCGTTATACTGCGGGATGAAAATCTCTAACACGTATGTACTCTACATTACACAGCTCCTCTTATTCCATGTCATACCTGTATTTATATGTTTAGGGCACAATTATTAATTCCTTACATCCCAAACAGGTAATTGTGAGGAAGTTAGTGAAGCAGGAAGCTGGCTCCCAACATAATTATAGAAATTGCTACCACTAGCTGTACATCAAGCCTTGTAGGCCTGCAGACAGCCGCCATTACGTGGCACTCAGAGGCACAGGGCCACACCCTTATTTGATGTTACAATTACACAGCCTTAGCAGGCCCCAACAACAGTAGCAGCTAAGGCCCTTTTGTTTAATACTGTAGACATAGAATTAGTAGTTATTAATTTAATTTGCTGAAATAATAGTAGATTAGACCACCGTATGTGGTATGATTTATAATTTATATATCAAAGACTAGGTAAACAATTTGTGGTTTATGAAGGATCCACCTCAAAGTGGTTTAAGCTACAAATTGTCCCTCCCATTGTGTGAGAAGGTCTAGCAGCTGAATCAGAACATACAGTCCACTTACATATTAACTAACTAACTAATTTACTAAGAACTAAGAACTAACTTAGAAGAAAAATAATCAAATAAAAATAATATAATATTAAAGTCAATTAATATAAAAATAAGTAAATATGTAATAATTAACAAAAGAAAAAGAATTAAACTTCTAGGATTTTCCCACAATGGGAATAAATATGAAATTGGGATTAAATATGCAAATATTGAATACAGACTTATTGAGGGAAGATGAGGGATGGCTGGCGGTGAGGTCATTGGACATTAGGGATCAGTATACGTAACTTTAACTTTCGGGATGACAGAATGCGGCCTTTTAATCTCCTTGGGTAAAATAGCAGGGGTCAGAAGGGAGCTGTTTAATTCCCTCTTTGGAAAATTATATATGACGGAAGGAAGCGGTAGATAAATTCTATAAACTATGAAAACACCCCCTACGCCATAGACTGACCATCGGGAAAAAAATTAAAGCACCGATAGGCCTACAGGTAGCAGGGGAAAATGATGAAAACACCCCCCCAGGCCTATGCATGGTCGGGAAGAAATGAAAACGGCCGACAATAAGCCCAGTTACTAATACTCGCAGTACATGTCATATTAGAGAGGCTGCAGTACAGGTCATATCAAAAGGTGTACAGTACATGTCAAATTGGAGGGGGCACAGTACATGTCATATTAGAGGGTGCACAGTACATGTCATTTTAGAGGGTGCACAGTACATGTCATATTAGATGGTGTTGCACAGTACATGTCATATTAGAAGGTGTACAGTACATGTCATATTTAATGGTGCATAGTACATGTCACATTAGAGGGTGCACAGTACATGTCATATTAGAGGGTGCACAGTACATGTCATATTAGACGGTTCATGTAATAGAGGGTGCACAGTACATATAATAGAGGGTGCACAGTACATGTCACATTAGAGAGTGCACAGTACAGGTCATATTAGAGGATGCACAGTACATGTCACATTAGAGGGTGCATTACTGGAGCCAGTTGTAAGGAATCACACAACTTAGGCCTCATATGATACCTTCATTATACTACTAAATACCCCAGATGGGTCTTCATTAACACACATAACTAGTAATATTTGCTCTTACTAAAGTAACTCCTTTGTTAGATGAATGTCAAAAACAGCAATAATTTGTAAAGCTTGTAATATTGTGGTTTACCAAATTTACAGAAATTTAAACCCTGAATATAGTATTTCCCCCAATAACTACTTTCATGATATATTAAAATTTAAAAATGTTTCATATATAATCAGTTCAAAAGTAAAAGTATGATGTGCACAGGTAATCCAGGGCCTACGCGAGAGTGGTCTGGTGAATAGGTACTTCCTGGAGGTGCTGCAGGAGGACCACGACCGCATCTCCTCCCTCGCTCGATCCTCACCCGACACTGCACCTCCCGCAGAAGGCGTCCAAGTTCTCACCCTTGAACACCTCCAGGTGCACTTTTCCCTCTACGTCTGAAAGAAAACCTTATGTGCATTTTCAATTGGGTTATTAAACTTGTGGGGTTTATCAGGTTTCTGCCAGTATAAAGTCCAGCAAACATAAGTGCCTCCAGAAGGAATGGTATGGTTAGTATCAGGTAAAAAGTTCTAAGCCAGAATGACGATATTGCGATGAGAAAGGTCGTGAACACGGGAATCTTGGAAGCGAGGACGGAGTTAAGTAACATCTCCAGTTAGGCACTTGTCTCCAAGACCTGCGTGCGATTGACAGGAGCTCGTCTTGAGTACATTTTATTAATGTTCACAGCAGTTGTACCTTGATGTACCAGATATAAAGAAAGTTGGCTAGAACATACTGTAGCATTTAAAACATTTTCACTAGAGAGAGGGTGTTTAAAAAATTATGTAATAATAACAGCAAAATACAAGAATTGCTAAATATTTTGACATTTATTTATATATATATATCACTCTTTTGCATGGACTCGCAAGGAATTTTTAACAAACAGAACACTTCGTCATATGAGAGAATTGAACCAGGGGCCAGCAAGTGCCATGCCAGAGCATTAACCACTAGACCAACCTCAGATCGTGAAAAGGAAGGGAATTAGGATGGGTTTTCCACCACGTAATCCAACTCCCCGACGACACTAGAGGGATGGACACTGATCAAACACTCCTTTTCTATCAATCATATTTACTAGGAAAACTCGTGTCTCGAATATATCACACACTCTTGCATGAACTCGACGTCGGGGGAGGGGGATTACGTGGTAGAAAACCCATCCTAATTCCCTTCCTTTTTGACGATCTGGTCTCGACGGACTGACGGTTCTTAAGGTGGCGTTTGTGGGGCGTATTCTCACGACGCACCCCTAGGAGGCCCCAGCATGATCGGCGATGGCTTCTTGTTGGGTGTCCTGCCTCTAATTGTGGCTCCATGGTGGGTATGGGGGCACATTCGTGAATGAATATGTTTCTCTTCGTACCTATGTCTAATTCTGTTCCTCATTTACCTTCTCAGGCTCGTGGGGTGGGCGACCAAGCCCCCGAGTCGGTCCGTATTGTAAGACCGGACTCTGTAGCCTCCACTGCATTGGGCCCCGACCTTGCTCCTCCTTTGACCTCTCTGACTACTCCCCTCGGCTCCCCTTCCTCCTCTGTGGTTGGGTCGAGTCCCAAGCCCCTAGTGGTGACTACCTCGTCCCCTGGCACGGCTCAGTCTCTTGTTGTGACTACTGCACCTTTTAACCCCTCTCTCTCTGGGGTTTTCAATGCCGTCCTCGACACGGCCGCACTCGCTCGATTCCTTCCCATTCTGATGCATATCTAGCCTTGTTTGGTCCCGCTTCGTGGGCCAAATACTTTGTTCTCCTCCCTCTTGATTCTGCGCCTCCTGACGATTTCTCCCTTCATAGGCACCTTGTTGATTCCGTGGATGCCTCTGTTACCTTCAACCCCACCCGTCTCGGTACACGTGTCTTTGCAGCTCCTTCTCAGGATGCGGCCTCCCGCTTGGCTGCTTTATCCTGCCTTGGCGAGACCCCTGTTCAGGTCTACAAAAATGCTCAGTTGAATGCCAGTGTTGGCACTATTCTTCTCCCGCCCCATGTTGCGACTGGTTTTCGGAATCTGCAGGACTGCCATGATGATATTCAGCATATCCGTGAGGCCCAGGGGCCATTCTGTCCTCCAGGTAGACACGTTTACTCGTCCTCCTCATGGTCGCCGCCGTCATCTCCTTCGTGTTGTGAAAATTACCTTTAATGATAGGACCCTTCCACCCTCTGTCATTCTTGCTGGTGCCAGGTGCTATGTCCAGGAGTACATTCCTACTCCTAGGCTTTGTAACAAGTGCTGGAGGTTAGGGCATGGTGCCCTCCGCTGCTCTGGGACTGTCTCTCTCTGTCCTTTGTGTGGGGGCGAAGGTCACTCCAAGTCGGAGTGCTCTTCTTCCCAGGCTCGTTGCCTCAACTGCGGTGAGGCCCATCCTGCCTTCTCCTGCATGTATCCATTACAAGTTTGAGGCAGCCGTCCTTAACTTGAAGCACCGGGAGCGTTTATCTTTTCCTGAGGTGAGGCGGCAGGTTCGCCGGCTCCCGCCTTATGCTAACGTCTCTTATGCTCGCGTGTTGCGCTCTTCCTCTCCTCGTCCTTCCCACCTTCCTCAGACTCCCAACCGTTTCCGGGCCTTGGACCCTGATACGCTCACTGCCCCCTCCTCTGTTCCTTTGAGTTCTGTCCAGAAGGGTCCCCCTCCTGGTCCTCTGTTTGGGGTTCCCCTTCTTTCTATCCGGTCTGTCATGTCTCCTGTGTCTTCTTCCTCGTCTCCCTCCGATCCTCCTTCCCATCCTTCCCCTCCGTCTATTGAGTCTCCCCACCACCTGTCGGTGCGGGCTGATGTCCATCACTCTCCAAACGGCCGTCGTGTGTGCTCTCGTTCAGCTTCTCCTGTTGAGACGCTGGAATCCATTGCCCAGTACGTGGTTGCTGGGACACCTGTCTCTTTAAGTCAAAAGCGTAAGCCTGGCTCCTCTCCTTCCTCCTCCTTGGCGGGTAAGAAGGCTTCACTTTCTTCCTCGGCCCTTACTTCTGCCTCTATCACTCCTCCCCCTCGCATTACAGTGGTTGTGCCCCCTGTTTCTGCTATGGAGGTTTCTTTGGCCCCCGCTTCCCTCTCGGTTGCCGCCCTTGCTGAGGTTTGCTACCCCCTTTCTACTCCCCCTCTTCCTGCTGCTGTCCTTGACTACTCCTCTCGGTTGTCTCCTCCTCTTCTTCCTCCTCCGGACCCCGCCTGTCCGCCTCTGGTCTGTTCTCCCGCTTCCTTCCCTCCGTCTTTGCTTAATTTACCCATGCCCCCTAACCCTAACTTTGCTGACCCTGATCCCGACCCTGATCTTCTTTAACGTGCTATATTACTCTTTGGCTTTTGTTTCTTCCTTGTTCTCTGTTGTTGTTCTTTCTTTTCTCGTCGATGTCTATTCTTCAGTGGAACGTTCGAGGTTATTACGCCAATTTTATTGAGCTCCAACTTCTGATTTCGCGGTTTTCGCCCCTTTGTGTCTGTCTCCAGGAGCCGATGCTTGGTGCTCGTCCTGGTCGCTTTCGTGGCTATTCTTTTCTCTCCTCCCCCCCCCCCCCCTCCCAGCTGTTGCTGGGGCTCCTAACTCTTCTGCTCTCTTGATTCGCTCTGATGTTCCCTTTGTCCCTATACTTTTTCCTTCGCCTCTCCATTGTTCTGCTGCTCGTATCTTTGTGGGGAAAACGTACACCGTTTGTTCCGGCTATCTCCCCCCGAGTGTTCCGCTTTCTCTTCCTGATCTGAAACACCTACTGGACTCCTTGCCGGATCCTGTGCTCCCGCTGGGTGGTTTCAGTTGTCGTCATTCCCTTTGGGGTGATGTTCTGACAAACACCCGAAGTCGCCTTCTTGAGCTGTTTATCCTCTCTTCTTCCCTGTCTCTTCTGAATTCTGGTGAGCCCACGCATTTGGACTCTCGGACTCGTACCCTTTCCTGTCTTGATCTTTCTCTTTGCTCGTCGTCTCTTTACTTGGATTTCACGTGGCAGGTTCTTGATGACCTCCATGGCAGTAACTATTTCCCCATCCTTGTTACCTTTTTCTCTTTTCACCCTCCCCTCTCCTTCCCTAGGTGGCAGTTTGCTAAAGCGGACTGGAACTTATTTACCTTCAGTGCTGCTCTCTCTGACCTCTCCCTTGTTCTCTCCTCCTTTTTCATGACACTGTCTTCGAACCTGCCCTCCGCTCTTTTCCTTGCTCTTCCTCTCGGGGTCCCCGGAAGTGCGTTCCCTGGTGGAATGCAGACTGTGCTCGGGCTGTCCGCTGTAAGCGTTCAGCCTGGAAGAGACACCGCCGTCGGCAGACGGCCGATTCTTTTATTCCGGAAGGCAAGTGAGGTGGCCTGTAGGGCCATCCGTACGGCTAAACGTGAATGTTGGGCATCTTATGTCTCCACCATTACGTCCGAAACTCTTCTGCCACAGATCTGGAAGCATATCCGCAAGATAGCGGGTACGTTCGTTCTTGATGTTTCACCGGTCCTTCACCTCCGTGGTACTCTTGTGGCGGACCCGTTGCAGGTCGCTACCGAACTGGGTTCCCACTTTTCTTCTGTTAGCTCTGGACTTCATCTTCCCATATCTTTCCTTCTTCATAAACCTGTCCTTGAATCTCGCCCTTTCGATTTCTGCACTCGTCTTCGACTTCCCTATAACGATCCCTTCTCTCTCTCTGAACTTCGTTCTCCCCTGGCCCCTCTGCGGTTCTACTACAGTGGGTTCCGATGGCATTCATTATGAGATGATGCTTCGCCATCTCCCTCCGTGCACGTCTCAGTATTTACTGAGTCTGTATAATGGATCTGGGAGTCGTCGTCAGTCCCTGAGGAGTGGCTCGATGCTGTTGTCCTCCCTATTTGCAAACCAAGGTCTTTGGGAACATCCCCTAAGGACTTTCGCCCTATTGCCCTCACAAGTTGTGTCTGCATACTCTTTGAACGTATGGTTAACGTTCGTCTGATGTGGTTCCTGGAACACCATTACCTCCTCTCCCCTTCTCAATTTGGTTTCCGCATGTGCCGCAGCACAACAGATGTCCTGGTGAACTTGGAGGTCTATATTCGTACTGCCTTTGCTGTACGAGTGTATTGTGATCCGGCCTGTACTCCTCTTGACATACCAGAAAACATTCTAAGGAAACTACTCCAAGCTTGTACTAAAGAGGCACCCTTCTTGAGCCTGGATGAGCACATGTATAAGCAAGTAGATGGGGTCGCCATGGGTTCTCCCCTAGGTGTCCTGTTTGCGAACTTCTACATGGATACCATCGAACAAAAGGTCTTAGTCGACATGAACTTGAAACCGGCCACATACTGCAGGTATGTTGACGACATTTTTACACAGGTACCTGATGTCAGACATCTCCAGGAGCTGAAGGAGGCATTTGAGCGGAATTCTGTGTTGCGTTTCACTTACAAGATGAAGAAGGATGGGAAGCTGCCCTTTCTAGATGTAACAGTCATGGAAAGGAGCGGAGGTTTCCACACTGCAGTCTACACTAAGGAAACGAACATAGGAATGTGCCTAAATGCCAACAGCGACTGCCCAGACAGGTACAAGAGGAGTGTTGTTAACGCATATGTCGACCGTGCTCTCAGCCACAGCTCAGAATGGAAGCAAGTCGACGAAGAACTCTGTAGGGTAAGGCAGGTCTTAGTCAACAACATCTCTTTCTAGGCGTTTAACGATGCATAAGCAACAGGGCTCCATTAAGGAACATATAATCTCTACCCACAACCAAACCATCGCCAGAGAAATGCTAGTAAACAACACAGAAATCATCGATAGATACAGCGATAGCAGACGGCTTGACGTTTGTGAGGCACTACACATTAAGAAGTCAACACTAGCAATCAACAGCCAATTAATGCACAACTATATTCTACCCACCTCAAGACTCCACTCCAATATAGAAGCATCAAGAAATATGGACCAATAGGCTTTCTACAATCACTTCCATTCAATACCCATTGTTTCGTGTTCTGTCTTGTGTTGATGAATTTAATACCCTATTAATACCACCTCACCCCATCCACCTCACTCAAATGTAGATATAAACAAATCGGAGATGTTTAAGTTCTATTAAGTTGTGTATGTGTAAACTAAAGTCTTTGAAAATGTAATAAGTTTTACGAAACGTGCTCAAGTGTCGCGTCAGACTAGAAATAAAAATGAATTTTGGAGAATTGATTTTTGAATTACTACCAGCAGTGAAAAGAAATGTACGAAAGATTGAGAAAATTCGTGTTAGAATTATTAATCTTACTTTTTCGGTCATATTTAATAATATATGTCTACAGGAAAGACTGCTACCAAAATATACTAATATATATATATATATATATATATATATATATATATATATATATATATATATATATATATATATATATATATATATATATATATATATATATATATATATATATATATATATATATATATACATATATATATATAACCTGATCAAATAATGGAAGAAGCTTATTGAGGATGATAATAATAAGAAAATATTGTTTGGTTCTCAAACAAAAACCCGATGTGAAGGGCTTGATTGATAAAGTTTTGCATATAATTAACTAATTGCTAATTATGTATTTGGATTAAAATGTTAATTGGATGCTTGTTTTAAAAGATCATAACTCTCATTTTTGTCACAGTGATCACTTCATTAAAGTTAACTTTTTGGCTTAAGACCCTTTAACAAAATTTAACTTTCTGCCCCAGATATAAATAAATATTTGTTACTTCTTCGTACAAGGGACAGCTTTTCTTTCTTTCACAGTGACTATTTAACTATAATTTACAATGTTAGACCAGATACTTTTTGACCAAAATAATATTTCTCCTCCAGCGACAAATTAACTAAAATTCACGTTTATATCCCATAGATCGCTTAATTAATTTTAACTTACCTCCACAGTGATCATTCGACAGAATCTTACTAGCTAAGTCAATAAATATGAGCTTATCCTTTTGTGTTACTAATACATCTGTTTGTGGTGCAGGGAGTGTTCTTGGTGCTCGGAGCGGGTCTGTGTGTTGCGGTGGTCGTGGCACTACTGGAACTGGCAACAGGTTCTCTTCTCTTTTCCTGCAGACGTCGTCTTCTAGACTAGCTTGGTAACATGAACGAAATAAATAACAAATATCACTGAAGAAGTTTCCCGCTGTATTAAAAAACGTAGCTCCTGCCACTCAACCAAAGCAACATTGTAGGATAAGCCTTGCCAGCAATAATAACTCCGAAATCAAAAGCCAGAGACTCAAGGACACAAAATTATGACTTTTATCTAGTTATACTAAACTTTAAATCATCTTTTTACCAAAGTAAAATAGACGCATTTTGTCAACATAATCGTTGTAGTCGGTATTTTGGAGGTTGTTTTAAAACATGCAAGTGTTACCACGAGCATGTGTTACAGGAGGGGGGGGGGGGGCCGCAGGGTAGGTCTAATTTATCCTCACCTCCGTCAAGCAATTGTAACTAGCTGCACACTCTCAGAGGCTTGACACTACCTCCACGCCACTCTCATGAGCTTGACACTACCTCCACGCCACTCTCATGAGCTTGACACTACCTCCACGCCACTCTCATGAGCTTGACACTACCTCCACGCCACTCTCATGAGCTTGACACTTCCTTCACGCCACTCTCATGAGCTTGACACTTCCTCCACGCCACTCTCATGAGCTTGACACTACCTCCACGCCACTCTCATGAGCTTGACACTTCCTCCACGCCACTCTTATGAGCTTGACACTTCCTCCACGCCACTCTCATGAGCTTGACACTTCCTCCACGCCACTCTCATGAGCTTGACACTACCTCCACGCCACTCTCATGAGCTTGACACTTCCTCCACGCCACTCTCATGAGCTTGACACTTCCTCCACGCCACTCTCATGAGCTTGACACTTCCTCCACGCCACTCTCATGAGCTTGACAGTAGTGAAAATCAGACAGTAGTGAAAATCAGAAAACAATGACAGAGCGTTATGTTTTTTTCCGACGCACGGTCATTGTCCATTGGATGTTTTTAACAAAAAGTTATGGTCGTCTCTAGCCCAAGGGGTGTTTTATTTTTTCATTCGATAATACCTCATAGTCTCCTAACATGTTTCGTTCATTTATCGACCGCTCCTGATAAATGTGACCAACCATTTATCAACCGCTCACTAATATGATCAGGTCTATATTTTTATATTTCATAGAGCAAAGAAGACTACCGACCTCCTTATTAAAAACAGCCCGAAGCCGACGGAGAACTCTTTACAGCAGTCAAACGTAGTATATGTACACTTGCCCCCCACGAAGGATGTAGCCTTCAATTTAAGTACATAGGTATGACGTTGACTAAGCTGACAAGGCGTTTGACCTGTCAACTTCAATCAGGCGCCCCTAAAAATCACATGAGGCAAGCCCTTGACATCACCCTAATAGGAGAAATGTTAAATATAAACACTTGTATAATAGACAAAATCCAAGATGTCGAAAGATTACAAATTCTTGCAGCAATCCACATAGAAATAGAATAACCCACAACAAGTACCTAAATTATGGAGCTATTCACTCTACTCACCATGCAACCCGTTCTCGCACATGCTTATAGTCAATATTTTGCTTATGAATATGTACATATGTGATATACTAATTTATTGTGAGTATTTGAGTTTACCTGAAAAGCTGAATAGAAACCACGACCCTAACCTAACCTTCTTAGTATGTTAAGCATTTTATTGCTTCTGAATTACAATTAGTACTTAACCTATACCTATATTGATATTACAAGTATTGTAAATTGTAATTGATATTACAAGATAAATTGTAAAGTAACTCAAGACATTGGCAAATTTTGTATAAAATCTTTAATGTTTAATAAAAGTGAAAAATAAATTGCTAATATATAAAACTTGTGTATAGCAAATCGAAATAAAGAGTTAGTGCTTTGAAAAAAAATATAACTGAATATACCACATATGTACTTATTCATAAGCCAAATATTGACTATATGCAGTAAGTCATATGTGATGTCTTGTGCGAGAGCGGGTTGCAACAAGATGTCAACATAGAAGACACTGTTCAACATGCCACGCCTATTACACCTAATTTATCTTTGAATGTGCTTTGAACCCTTTTTATCACCTTTCTCTTCACACTTTTACACCTTACTCAGGTGTAAAAATGGAGTATTCACTCCTTTACGCCTTATTCTTCCTGCATTTGTATTTGTCAGCACCTGACCTCTCAGTGGTATGAATCAAATATGCTCTGTACTGTTCCATCACATGAGAATCAACCATGTGGGTTCGAAACGTTGTGTAAAAATATAATAAGTGTAACAAATTCTACAGTTATTTCTTTTCTTCTCCTGAAACGAATATTACATTAGAAGAAATCCTGTTTTAATTAAACAAGATGCAAGAGCATTAGTCAATGGAATAGAATCTCTTCACAAGGAAATAATCAACACAGAATATGCATCCAATATATATATATATATATATATATATATATATATATATATATATATATATATATATATATATATATATATATATATATATATATATATATATATATATATATATATATATATATATATATAAATTGGGTCTATATATATATTGGGTCTATATATAAATTGAGACTGGGTCACCAGTGTGCCAATAAGTGCTTGAAAAAGATAAGTTGAGTCCAGTCCTGTGGTGACTGGACAATTGTGAGTATCGTTCTGAGAGCACCACACCCAGTGAGCCAGGACACATTCACCAGTGTTTAGTGACAAAAGGAAATTATCCAAGTGTTACGTGCCACATCAACCCTTCCCCCACCCCCTGAGTGTAGTGCCTCCCCCCCAGTGAGTGTAGTGTCTCCCGCTCGCCCGCTCCACTTGTGTAGTGTCTCCCCCCCCCTTCCTCCGTGTGGGGCAGTGTCTTCCGCTCCCCCGCCCCCACCTCCCACGATCAGGTGGTCGAGCCTTCCCCTCCCCGGCCCCCCTCCCAGACCGGGCCAGCGCAGCCTCCCAACCCCCCACCCACCACCTCCACGAGCCCACCCACCCCAGACATCTGCCCAGACATGACGCATAGTATAGGGGACAACCTCTTCCCCCCCAGCCAGGAGGGAGAGACAAATACTCCAGTGCAAGGTGACATTCACCTTACCTAAGGGGATGGCAGAAGAAGCCGCTACCAGCCAGCTCACCCCTCCCGAAGCCAATCAAAGGAGAGGCACATGCAGTGCTTGTGGGAGCAACATCAGCATCAACTCGGTCTCTAGAGTCATACGCCAGCATGGTGACTGTCCTGGGTCAGGGAGGCCTCCCGTGGGAGGAGGCAGCACTCAGGAGCCTGTTGCACCAGTACAAATCGCAACAGATTACATTGCAACAGACGACCTGCTAGAGGCAATTAAAGCAACGTCAACCAGGACACTCACCCACATCCCAAAGGCCTCTCGCCCATTTGCTGCAGGGAAATACATGGACCTCATCGCAAAAGTCAACAGAGGGTCAAATAACCTTGATGCACCTGATACCATCAAAGCCTGGCACAATCTGTTACTTTTTGGCAATGCATGCTTAGGTGTACCAGACAGAGGAGGCAAGACACTGGCCTCATCCGTCAATAAAGCAATTAGGGATTTTCCTAGGGCTGACAACCTAGTCCGCCTCCCCAAACACACCAAACACCGCCGAGGCAGACCAAGTACGACAATCAGCGACAACAGAAAATTAGGTACCCAAGTCAGCAAGAAAATTGAAGAGGGCAATACAGTCGGGGCACTCAGGTTGATCACAAGTGAGGACAAAATTTTGCCCAGGGATGAAACCACAGCCCAAGCACTGAGAGAAAAACACCCCCTCAGGGCCGTAGGTGGACCTCCCCCACAGGTCAGGCTCGCCCCTAACCAGGAACCTCTCGTCCTCCGGGAGTCAGAGGTTTATAAAGCTATCGTTTCATTTCCCCCGGGCTCCTCAGGAGGCTACACAGGGGTAAGACCTCAACATGTGAAGGAAATGGTGAACCCTGTTCTTGGCCCAGCTGCAGAAGCGCTCCTGACAGAAATCACAACGTTTGTCAACAACTGCCTCGCCGGGTTAATCCCTGATGAAATCAAACCATTCTTCTTTGGTGCATCCCTATGTGCCCTGAAAAAGAAGGGGGGAGGGATCAGACCCATTGCCGTTGGTAATACCCTTCGCCGCCTAGTTGCAAGGGCTGCTGTCAGAAGTATCCGAATGGAAGCAGCCACCATGCTGCAACCCAACCAGCTGGGGTTTGGAGTCCCCCAAGGCTGTGAAGCAGCGGCTCATGCTGCACGAGCCTACATTAGCTCTCTTACTGAAGACCAGGCAGTAGTAAAATTAGATTTTAAAAACGCTTTCAACTCGGTCAAAAGGGAAGCAATCCTCACTGCAGTCCAGGAACATTGCCCAAGCATTCTCCCGTTTGTGTCAGCAGGCTACAGCAAAGACTCAACCCTCCTGTTTGGCAAACATGAAGTCACCTCAGCAGAGGGAATTCAACAGGGTGACCCACTTGCACCGTTCCTCTTTTGCATAGCGGTTCGAGAAATTACAACCAGACTGTCCAGCGAGCTCAACATCTGGTTCCTGGATGATGGCACTCTGGCAGGCACACAAGATTCCCTGCTAGAAGACCTACAGCTGGTGAAGACACGGGGGGAGTCCATGGGTCTCGTTCTTAACCCCTCCAAGTGCGAAATTATTGCATCCAGTGAAGCAATCATTAGAGCAGTGAAATCAGTTCTACCAGAAGCCTCAGTCGTTAAACCTACCGACAGCACACTACTCGGAGCACCTCTGGGCCACAATGCCATTGCTGCAGTCCTTGACGAAAAGTTTAGAGACCTAAAGAGGATGGAAGAGAGAATTGGGGATTTGGACTCCCACGATGCCCTCTATCTTCTCACAAAGTGCCTTACCTTGTCCAGGCTAACATACTTCTTAAGGTGTGCACCAACTTTTGGCAACCCACTTCTAAATCAATATGATGAGCTCCTCAGGTCAATATTCAGGAAGGCGCTCAACCTAGATTTAGATGACAGTCAGTGGGACCAAGCAACACTACCAGTGAGATTTGGAGGGATAGGCATACGAAAGGCAACTGAGGTAGCACTTCCAGC